CCATTACTCCTTTATATAAAAAAAATCAAAACAAATTAAATCTTTAAATTTTCATTAGTACAAATTATTATAACTCACAATACAAATATTCCTCAATCTCAATGTTACGTCTTGCCATTCAATTCATTTTATATATTTAACATTGAGAAAGCGTCATCACATTATCAAATGAAATTTTAGGTTTCCATTACAGGTAATAATTATTAAACCCGGATGGCCTAATTTAATTATCACATCCAATCACTTCTCTAAATTTGAACTCTGGTCAGTTTTCAACACTAGTGATCACTTTATTAAACTTACTATATGCATGGCCATGAATGTGATGTGATATTAGAACACCAACATGTGTTTCTTTATACAATTGGCAAGACAATCAATTAAAATTTATCCAATAATTACTCATACTCTACTGGAGTTTAAAATATAAACTTGATACATGTTAATCTTGTTGGATATTTTATACTCTTCTGGAGTTTTTTATATAATCATGAAACATATGAACTTTATTAAAAGTGATTTCTTCTAGAAATGTAATGATATTTACCACTTCCTCGAATTTGTCATTGTCAATAGTGACTCCTTTCCTTTTCAAAGATACTTAATTATCTTTAGAACCTATTGATTTATCACGCTTCAAGCATGCTATAGGTTCATCAACAATTGATGTTGTACTCTTAGGATATCAATTTTGAATTAGAGCATTTACAACTAGTATAAGATAAATGTCATTTGTTTATATCCATCTTCAGGATTGTATCATTTCAAAAAATTTAATTAACATGTGGCCATTTCTATTAAATAAATCGTTGATATTTAAGTTATTGTATGTATCAAATTGACCATATATATATTTTATTATTTATATGCAAGGATTACATACAATCTCCCCCTAATCCTTGCATATGGGGGTATGGAATGAATCAATCCAACAACCTTTAAAATCTTTGCAAATTTTAATCCATAAATTCTTTTGGCAATGTCATGTATGAAGTAACGTGTACCTTTTAGAAAAAACATGCTTATATAAAATTATACTTATAGAACACTTATCATGTTCCTCATGCCCAATTACATTCATCTTAAAAAAACAAAACTTCTTATATTTATGGGCATAATAAAACGTTGATTATGTATAGTTTCTCACAATGTCATGTTTAATTACTTGAACTCATAACACACTTTTTGCTATATATTTAATTAATTAAGGAACTTCAAGTCCATATGTACGAGAATATATACCAATCCATCTACATTTTTCAGAAAGAGAAGGTAAAAATAAGACATGACATAATCAGTTCGAGCTTTAATCAAAACATACCTTATTCGATCCACTCAACTATACTAGCCAAATTAAAATTAATCTTTGGAAACATAAGTAAACATGACATTGTGTTTATAGAATCACGTTAGTATGCAGTGGATATCTAAGCAATATGCTTTAGGTTTGTAGATCATGCACATTTCTTTGTATTATCCTTAAGGGTTTTGAGCCATTTATATGTTCAAGCTAGTGTGAATACTCTTTATAAATATAAGGAACTTCAGGTCCGCACATCATATTCAATTGACATTCATTCCAATAATCTAACTTCAAGTAGGTACATAATACTATAATTGAATGAGAAGGTAAAAATATGAAAACCTACTACTTCACGCTTTAATAAAAACATATCTGAATCGATTGAATCAACTATATATACTGTCGGGTCAATTATATCAATATATTGCCTGATAAAGTTTAATTAGAAAATAGAAACAATCACATAAGCAACCAAAATTAACACGTTCACGTTAGTGGAAAACCACATGTTTCATATCATACTTGAAATATAAAAACATAATTCAATACATAAATTATATATAGTTTCAAAGGTACCTTAGACATTAGACATAGGATTTCACAAACAAATTATATGGGTAAATAATTGCTAAATCAAACCATTCATATTTGCTATCAAGCATAGAGAAATAACCAAACTCATGTATGGATAGGAAAACTTATCAAAATCTAGCAAATATATGTAATACAATTTCATGAAAACCATACGTTCATAAAATTAACCCCAATAATAATTCTAAATACCCTTTTAAATTCAAACTAAACAAAGCTCATATTCAAAACAAAACTACTAATTAGTTATTTTGCATCAAATTCAACTATTCCCAAATTGCTCATTGAACTCCAGGAATAATAAAAATACGAAAATTTGGGAAACAATATAAACATATTATGTAAAGGTTTAAAATTAACAATAAAAGGATAGTTGAGAATGAACTTTCCTGATATCAAAACCTTTCCCACTATAAAAACCAGCCTTGTCGTCAACTTCATGTTATCAACGTCATCTGCTAGCCTGTAACTCATGAAATCGTCAATGAAAAGAAAATAAAGTATAACCCTTGATTAAGGATAATCTATTATATTATGGATAGATGAGAAAGATGATTCAAGATAAACAAACCAATGCAATCGAAAAATAATACGAGTAATTCTTTGTAACCAAATTATTAATACCGTGAGTCTCCTTGTACTAGTCCCAAATTAATTAATGAGGATTGGGAATGATATGAAATTCTTGAAACGTGTGATTTCATTATTAAAAGATCAAAACCCATGATCAAGATTAATCTCCTTCTAATTTCTTCCCAAGATGCAACACAACAAGATAACAATGAGTATAATTTAGGACATTCAGTATACAACGAATTAATCATTAACTTAAGAAATCAACAATATAAGAGAGATTGATAGAGAATATATCAGTGTATTTCTATTTCATATAATGGGGTATATATATATACAATATAATTAGGGTTTTCTTAGATAAAAATAGAAACCCTAGTTCTATCTAGAATATTCCGGAATGATACAAGAAGTATAATGGGCATCCACACAATATTCCATAACAAATAATTTATTGTGTAATTACTTAAAGGTTACATTATTTTAGGGGAAAGTTAAGTATGAAGGTTACGTTACACACATGAAGAGTTTTAGGGTATGTTTTGTTCACCTTATTTTCACCTATTTCAGGTGTAATAAGTTTAGTTTAGTTTAGTTAAGTTCAGTTCAGATTTAATAAGTTCTTATAAGAGTTACCCAAGTACAAATTACAACTAAAATAAGGTCTAATAAGTTCAAATAAATTTAGATTAGTTCATATAAGTGAAAATCAGGTGAATTGAACACGCCGTTAGAGTGATGCCACATAGGGTGACACATAGTGATGATGTGGCACCAAATCATATTGAGGGAATTGTGACACATGGTGTTACCATGCTGTCCCATTATGCTTTAATAATATTATAGATTATAGATATGATTAAATGGGTAGAAATATTTTGCCAAAATTTATTAAATTATAAATCCTTATAGATAACCTGAGCTATAATTAAATATAGCACGATTTAGCTTCTTAGATGATCAGAAAGTCAGGGCCGTCCCAACTATTATGGAGGCCCTGTGCAATTGAGATACATTTGGGCCCCCTCCTTTTTTTTTAAGTAACGTATAATAATATTGCATTTTTTTAATTAAATGCTCCGTTATGATTTATTTGTTGAAGAGGTTTAGAATAAAGAAATAAATGTAATTTTTGTAATACTATTGAAGAGATCAAAATATGTTGAAAAGCAAAAATAAAAATAAGTTATAAAAGTATTTACCGGTTATTGTGAAGAGGAGAGAGAGAATAGTAATATTTTCTAAAAATGAAATTGAGTCAAGAGACCATTATTGGGGATAAAAATATAAATATTGTTACAATCTTTCAAAATATAGGAATGGAATTTTTTTTAAAAAAAAGACTAAAATGAAAAGTAAAGCACAGACGAAGTACTTGAAAATCGAAAGAATATCCAAACCTTTAAATTATAAAATTAAAATTAAGAAAAGTTACAAAAATAAAAAAAAGTACATAAACAAGGCTCGAACCGCGTATCTACAAAACTTAGTATCACCATACTTACCACTAAGCCACAACAATAACACTAACAATTTGTACAACAATTTTATATATAATAGTAAACTTTGAGGCCCCAAGCGATTTTGGGCCCTGTGCGGTTGCGCATGCCGCACACCCTAAGGGCTGGCATTGCAGAAAGGTTAAAGCTAGCGTTGTAAGCGTGGACTTACTTATCCTTTATTTCCAATGATAATAGCTAAATAAAATTGTTTGTAATAGAAGTCTCATTTCACCAAAAAAAAAATAAATCTAACCCTAAATAGAAGTTTCATTTCACATTTTATTTTTCATATTCAACATGATAGAAAGTATATTTTTCCCCTTTTTTTTATTGACCAAATCTCAAAACTAGCCTTTAATCAACCAAATTCTTATTTTTTTTTTATTTTTTTTTTAATTTAAAGACTACTAATGTAGTTTTAATAGTTGAACAACATGAAATAAGCATAATGCACGTACTATAATGTACGTGCACCTTTTATATGTATTTCAAAGTTTTTGATATGGAGTTGCTTCACATGCTAAATTAATCTACGTGCAACTCATCATTGTCTTCCATCTTCTGTCTCAAAGTCTCTCGTCCACAATTCATAAATTATGTACCACAAAATATCATAAATTTCCTGCGAAATTTCATTCATTACAACATAAAAATAGGAGGAAAAAAACTAAAACATTATATATCAAAACATCTCCCCTGTTTTCATGGTAAAGCGTACATTTTTCCATTTTAAAAAACTATTATTGTACCCTAAGTTACCAATGCAATGATCATCCTTCTTGAAGCTAATATTTGTCCTCCCCGTGATCACAACCGGATCTCCCCAGATCCGTTTGTGAGGTTGGACTATCGGCTTTTCTATTAACTTACATATTTTAAAATAAATAAATAAATAAATATAGGGAAGGGATTTCCACAACCCGACTCCTGAATATTCTTCAGGAATCAGGGTAATCGATTATCATTAATTATAATATATGTAAGTATATAAATATATAGATTATTATTATTATTATTTTGGTACGTACATTATGACTCAGAAGAAAATGAACCTCCGTCCGGGGACAGCGGCGTATAGGAGGAAACACGCACTCCTACAACCATCTCCGTCGTTACCACCTAATGGTAGGTTGGCGGAGATGGCCGGAGGCACCACAGCGGAGTGCGCTGCGGTGTGGTGTTGTTGTCCATGCACATTAATCAATTTATTTGTGCTAGTTGTGTACAAGGTTCCAGCAAGTATATGCAAGAAGGCCCTAAGAACACACCGAAGGCGACGAATGATGAAAAAAGGCCTCCTCCCTCTTCAATCATTCGCCGCCTCGAGTAGGGCAAGTCCATGTCGATATAGCATCCCTTTAGAAGAAATGAGGTATCAAACTGATATGGCGACGACGTTGGTGGTGATGGATCCTGGAACTTGTGGGAGTATTAGTAGTGATGATAATAATATTATGGATAAGGAGTTGATGCAATTGGAAGAGGAAATGTGGGAAAAATTCTATGCTACAGGATTTTGGAGAAGCCCTTCTCAAGGAGAAAAAATAAGGGAACAACAACAATGATGATAAATTTCACGATTTTAGCCAATATTTTTTGTTCTTTGTTCTTTGTTTTATTTGTATATTTGTTTCCTCAAGCTTTAAAATCTTTTTTTTTTTTTTTTTTTTTGTACATTAATCATTTTTAATGGTTTGGGTGTCATAGGAGAAATGATTCAAGGGCAATGTTTTTTGTATTGATCTCTTGTTCATAGTATTTGTAATTAATTGAAAAGGGGTAGGGTTGGTTTGGATGTTTAATTAAGGAATGAGTCTATGAGTGTGTATGTGTAGTGTGTCATACAAAATACATCTTTGTGATTATAATTTTGGGGTTTTAGTATTGTAATTTTGATCTTTTTCCATATATATAGTTTATTGTAATATAATGTAATTTGTGTGACTAAACATGATCGAAAAGAATGTGATTGGAGGTCAATTAATTTTCTATAGTTATTAGTAAAGTTTGTGCGACTTATTTCTCAACCACAAGTATATGTGTGGGGGTTATATATGTACTAAATAATGAAAATCATCTTATTTTAAATGATCCTATAGTGATCGTTTGAAAAATGAATGCAATACATTGAACTAGCTAAGTATTGGAGCGAACTTGTTTGTGGGTAAAGTAATGACATAAACTTATTTAGGACATTACTTAAGAAAAAACAGTGTCTTATGTTCTAGATATAATCTTATCATATTGTGGGTGTGACTAAATATTAGATTATGTTGTACTCTAGGTTTATCAATTTATGCTATTTTTCATAATAAGGTTTTTGTAGGTTCATATATATCCTGTGTCAGACGCACAGGTTTGTTGGCCTGATCTTACTTTGTTTAGCCCAACAAGCTTATTAACAATGTTCAGCCCAATTTCTACTGCACTTCTACAGCTCTCTTATTCATCTTCAATTCTTTACTTTATATCTCCTCTCTCTATCAATGGTGAGTTGGCCTTACTTTATCTCCCCTCCCTCTTTCAATGGTGGTTTCTTAAGCCATCTCACCGTACCACCTGCCAGTAAAGTCGTCGATATGATGTAAATGATGATTTTTTTTTATGAAGTTTTACTTATTTCTATTTTTGATGATTTTCCTTGTATTTTGATGTATGGCTATGGAGTAAGTAATGTTCATTATTGCAGAGGAGCAAAGAAAGGGTAGAGAGAAATTTTGTGTTAATGATGGTCAACTAATGTAGAATATTATGATTACTTTAATTATTTTTAATTTGACGACAACATTAGAGTCCATTTTTTAATATTTCCTTAATTAATTAATTTTTGGTTTTGGTTTTCATCAAATAATATATGTCATCCAATAAACTTTTCATTCCTTCTATCAAATAATACATTGTTTAGATGATTTGAGGGTGATATATAATTCATATCCTCCAACATACTATACATATCCTCTAATAAACAGTATTGTTGTATATATCATCCATCAAACTATTATAGAAAACATATCCTCTAACAAATTGTACATATCATCCATTAAATAAAACATTTTCTTTAAACAAATTATACATATCATCCATCAAAGTATAACTATCCTCAAACAATCTATACATATCCTCCATCAAATATTTTATATTCTATTGAGGATACATTTTAGTTAGATTGAGGTTATATTAACTTGTATTGAGGATATATACAATCATTTTTATTGAAGATACATTTAGTTGGATTGGGGATACAATATTATCTACTGAGAATACATTTTAGTTAGATTGAGGTACAATCATTCTATTGAAGATACATTTAGTTACATTGAGGATACAATAATGTCTACTGAAGATACATTTTATTGAGATTGAGGATACAATTTAGTTCTATTGAAAAATACAATATATTTATTCTGTACTGAGGATACATTTCAGTTAAATTGAGGATACAATATTGTCTATTGAGGATACATTTTAGTTAGACTGAAGAAACAATATTGTCTACAGAGAATACTTTTTATTGAGGATACAATATTGGTCTACTAAGGATAAATTTTAGTTACATTGAGGTTATATTAACTTATATTAAAGATACAATCATTTCTATTGAGGATACATTTAGTAAGATTGAGGATACAATATTGTCTATTGAGGATACATTTTAGTTCAATTTAGGTTAAATCATATCCTCTAATAAATTGTAGATATCCTCAATCAAATAATTCATATCCTCTAATAAACTATACATATCCTCCATCAAATAATTCATATTCAATGAACTTTACATATCCAATATATATATGAGGGATACCCAGTCGATTCCGCAGATAAACAAATTTTGTTTATCTAGGGGTATAATTGTCTCTTCAAGTAACAGTGGAGGGGTATATGCGTCTTTTCATGTACTAGTTGAGGGGTACATGTGTAATTTCCTCACCAAACAATAAAAGAAAAAAAAAAACAATAATTGGACAACTCACCAAAAGTACTGAATAAATGACCCTATTTTTTCAATATATTTACAAAAATGCCATCAGATTAACAAAAATTTGTTTATTTGGCAGATTAACTTGTATTTTCCTTATTATATATATATATATATATATATATATATATATATATATATATATATATATATATATATATATATATATATATATATATATATATATCCTCTAATTAAATGTACATATTTTCTAATATAATACACGTCCTCTATCAAATAATAGATATTCACTATCAAGTAATACATATCCTCCACCAAATAATAAATATCCTCTATTAAAAATATTTTTTAAATAATAAAAAAATTAAAAATTAAAAGGTGATTAACAATGGAGGAACCTCCATTGAAGGTCTCGTACTAAGCTCATGGGTATAACATAACTTGCTCATTTCTCAACCAAAATACATGCATTTGTTATCAAAATTCTCCCAATCCAACATATAATCATATGGGACAATTAATTTCAACAATTATACATCACACAAGAAAGCCCCAATTTGATTTTTTTGGACATTTTTGAAGAATTCGAGAAACAATATACCAACATTCAGTCATTGATTATCATTTTCAAAATGTAATTTTTATGTTGCATTACAAGTTAGAGAGAGAAAGATAAGCAACGAGAGAGAAATCGAATTGAGAAGTAGCAGTAAAGGAAGGACACAAAAGGTTGCCACACGAAATACCTAACACCCAATAAAGTAGCAGTAAAAGAAGGACAATAAAGGTTGCCACGTGAAATACCCAATACCCAAAACATATGATGAAACATATTCAAAAGAAAAATTCAGTTTATATTTCACGTCTTGAAAACCTTTTCAATTCCCAATTTATCATCATCATAAAATATCAATATTTGTTTTACATTAGATCGTAAACATACTACACACTATTGTCATTGTCTTCGTTGTATCTTCTAGTAATTTTGTGATACACGGTGTTTAGGGTTGAAATATTACTTCAGGAAAGTAATTTTGTTCACGCGCTCAAAGTGTTAATTTGTTCAATTCGTTACAATTTTTGTGACCCGATAACCAATTTCCCCAACAATACTGCTTGACAGCAGTATGATTAAGCTTAACAACAGCACAGTCATGTTCCACCTTATTGTACTTAACACAAAAATGTGGTGTCTACTCTTATATACCTTTAGCTTCAACAGTACAAAACAACTTTAAACATTGATTAATATTGGCAAGGCTTTTGTGACATCTATTTCAATGAGAACCCGATCAAAGGAGACTCTAAGCTATCTTGATGCACATTCATCAACACAAATAGAAACCTCAAACAATCTAAACTTTCAATTCTATTTAGAATCTCAAGACCCTAACAATTTAAAGGCAAATTGGAAATTTAACCTATATGAGACTACTTTAAAATTTCAACATGGAAATCATACTTAACACTCGTATGTCAAATTTTCACTATAACAGGTTTACCAAAGAGCATATGGGGCCCCGAATACAAAATTGCATTCATATCTCAATAGATTTCAAATTTAAAATAAAATATCCATCATCATGCCAGAATATGTCGGGTTTCTAATTTAAATGTTATGGTTGGCAAAATTTTCTATTTCTGACTATGCTTAGTTTAATCATGCTTCATCCAATTATCTATTTCATCGAGGTTGTCAATGATCTCGAGATATATTTTTGGATAAACATCAGAAAATAGCGTCCCTATCTCAACATCAATTCTCTAATAAAGTTTCGGTGTTATCTTATAAAAAATATCATTACATTAGTCAGTTATAAATAACCAAATAAAATTAAATCGTTTTATGAAAAAAAAGGTAAATAACTTGAAATTTTTTAATTTATATCACTTTACATGATAATGAGTTAAATCGTTTCGAATAAAGTAAATAATATCAACATTGTTAATATAAAGAGATTTCCTATAATACATAGTTTCCATTGAACCTTGTTGATTTGAAAACAACATTGTTAGTGGTGAATCTAGTTTTAGATTAATGTGGATTCATTTAACATTAATAAATTATATTACATAATTTTTGAATTAACAAACGACATAAAACAGTATTTACATTAGAATATTCCATATTTTTTATACATATAATTATGAGTATTCATAAATTACTTGTAATTTTTATGTTATCTTATTCTGTTAAATAATATATATAATTTAATTTTTTATCTTTTTAATATTTGTAATAATTTTTTTATTAAAAAAAAATTTAGTAGGGTAAATTTCTATATTGGTGCTTTACTATTTAAACTTTGATTTTTTATCGATTATAATCCATAATTAATTAGTAATTTTAGAAAATGATTAAGAATGATATATAAATGGTATTGTGTAAATAATTAGTAACCATACTTCGTATAATTATCAATAAGAACGAGCGATTATAAAGTTTACAAATTAGTAACTATCGCAAACCATTAGAATTAAAATACACTTATTTCACGCTTGCAACATCACTTGAAAATTGATGTGGAAAAATATCCATAAATAATATTGTTCTTGTTAGTTTGATTAAGCTCATTCAAAAGCTAATAAAAATCTTGTAAGCTAAGTATTTGATTGTTTCTAAAGAGA